CACGACTTCTTCCCCATAGCGTAAGGCTGCGGGTTCCAGAGGAAGGCCATACCGTTGATAATGAGTGGTAAGGATGTGGTGGCGATGGCGCGCACCGGTAGCGGCAAAACGGCCGCCTTTTTGGTGCCTCTGTTGGACAAACTGAAGACCCATTCGGCGAAGACAGGCGTTCGGGCGCTGATTGTGTCGCCGACGCGGGAACTGGCGCTCCAGACATTCAAATTCGCCAAAGAGTTGTCTCGATTCATGGACTTGAAGGGGTAGACGTATAATCCGCCGCTGAGTTACCTCTTCGTCAAGCGTCGGTAAGTGCTCTTGGGCCTATAATACTAGCGTTGAGGGCCAGCTGACGAAGTGCACTAATACCTTTACTTAAATTTCGAGAGGACCGTTGAGTACATAGTGTTCGACGAAGCGGACCGACTCTTTGAGATGGGATTCCGGGAGCAGTTGAATGAGATATTGAGTCGATTACCAGATCAGAGGCAAACGTTGCTCTTCTCGGCAACGCTTCCGCAGCTGATCGTAGACTTCACGAAAGCCGGACTAAACGATCCGACTTTAGTTCGTTTGGACACCGAATCCAAGTTGAGTGAGAACTTGAAGAATGTGTTTCTCAGTTGTCGTAAGGAAGACAAGACAGCGGTTCTCTTATATCTACTCAAACACGTCATTAGTGTCAGTGAACTGACGGTTGTCTTCGCGGAGACCCGACATCACATCGAATATATAAAAGACATTCTCAACGACTGTGACATCGAGTGCTCCTATTTGTACAGTTCGCTGGACATGGAGGCCCGGAAGCTCAACGTCCAGCGCTTCCAATCGAGACAAGTGAAGGTGCTTTTGGTGACAGACGTGGCCGCGCGTGGGGTCGACATCCCTCTACTCGATAACGTCATTAACTATAACTTTCCGCCGAAGCCTAAACTGTTTGTGCATCGCGTGGGACGGGTGGATGGCTTATAATTAGTCAATACATTAGGCATCCATTGAAACACAAATAAGAGATTTAATGAATAATTAATTACGAGTAGAGATTGAATGGCAAATCACATGAAAATGATTAGTCCTTCACTGAGAAACTAGTTAAACATATAGTAATATCTGATGTCTATAATTATAAATGTATTATTAATACCGTTATAATGCTATAAATAACTCACCCTGTTAATCCAATTGGCGGATCAAATGGACTGCGATTTGACAATATATTTGCTAATTCAGTGGTTTGTATGGATTATATTTAATATACAGTATATTTGTTAAGTATTTATTTGTTATCAGTCTTTATATTCACATAAATATAATGATATATTGAGTGATAAACGAGTGGATCGTTACACGAATTGTGAAATGCATTATAAAACATACATTTCATACAAATCAACAATTATTACAAATTAAACCACAATAGTCTATGAATGTATGTATCAAATATTGAGTCATATTGATTCATCAGGATAATTGGTGTAAATAATGAGCAATGTATGTATGGTTACCAGAATTGACCACTAATTGTATAAATAAATGGCTATAATATTAGCAATCATTTCATGAAACATTCACTTCACTGTATGTTTGACTCCATTTACAGTACATAACAGTGTTTTGTGAGTCAATACGACTCGCAATCATGAGAGAGACTCACATAGAGTGCCAGCGATTGCACACAATGTTATGCCTCAAAACAAACCATACGTTTGCCACCAATGCATACACCGACCCCTTGTGTCAGCCCTACGGTTATGCCACTAAACAGTGTGCAGTGTTTTGTGTGCTCAACACGAGTGCCGCTACTGTCGCCTCCGTCGCTGTCTTTTAACATTTAAATACCAAATGTTGTGTTCAAATATAGCGGACCTTTAAAACCTTTTGTGTAAAAAACTCAAGGGATAGCTCTGCGATCACAAATGTCTTAGTCGTTAAGACAGCATACCTCTCATGTAAAGGGGAAATCCGGAAGGGTGAGTTCTTAGACAAACACACAATAAATTATTAGTACACCAGACCCTGCATACAATGTATTGTGTAAAGTTAATATTTAAACATTTTAAGTGAGTAAATAATTAGTGCCCTTGATTAGGGAACGGTTAATATTCCGGTAAGGGATATCTTAGGATTGATATTAGAGTTAGTGATAATCCTATGTTTACATAAGTCTGATTATAACCTCGACTATACCTTTATATTTGTTGCTCACAATTCTTGACCATTTAATGAAAAGTGAAATACGCGTAGAAAAAGGTCTTACATTTGGAGGTATAGGGAGTTGTTATGGCGACAAATCTGATCACTAAATGATGTCATATACATGAGAGGCTTAAGTGAAATTCACGAGTCTATTGAACATATCTTTAGCTTTTTTAAGAGTCGATTAGTGTATAGACTAATTGAAAGTAAATCTCAATATTCTGTGCCCACACACACTCACACATCCATATTCTGTGTATAGTAGCACACCGTACGGGTAGTTGTATTCAAATTCTCATTTTATTTAATATCACATAAAGGAGAGAATTCTCTCTATTTATACAAACAACTGAATTAATTATGGTTTTCAATACGTCAGTCATACAGCAAAACATGAATATTATATGAATTATGCGATTCTCATCACTAATTGAAATGAAATATTTGTTGTAAAAATAGTTGTGTACTGTATTCAATTTCAAGTCAAATGTCACGTATTTTATAACCCTTTGAAAACAATTGAACATTGCAATTCTGAAATCAATAGTTTTGAGATTTATAAGTTATTTAGTTTGTGTAACATTTCCCGGAATATTTTCACGTGCAAACAATATTTCAAATGCATTATAACAAGTCACTATAATATTATTCAGTAGATCATCATCATGAGACTTCTGTATAATATACTGTACCAAATTTAATCAAATTATATACAAATGAATAGGTAGTTTGGTAGACCTAAATACAGTAAATGAATAAATATGTAATTAAGTCAAAAATATAAACCACCCTGTCTATATTAATACTAACGAAATAAATAAAAAAAATATAAAACATATTGCGAAATAAGTTACTCCGGGGGTTACTTCACTAAATGCACAAGAAAATGATCTTGCCAATCAACTGATTTAATGTGATTTTATGCACGTGAATTTACTTTAAATTGTTTTAAACTTTGGTTTATATAATATAGTTTTATTGTTATATTTACACAAATATTAGAGACAATTGACTGCATTCCTTGTCTAGACTTAACTCACCTTTTATTTCCGCAATAATATCAGTAATCATCGAAATATAATAAATATAATGAAATCAAAGTAATTATTGCAATAAATTTCATGTTCTGATAAACATTAAGCCTTTTATAATGTAATTATTTATCGGCTTTGGTTTTGAAGATTACTGATGAAACTCTTCATTGTTTGATGAAAACTATAATCACATTTAAAAACCAAATTTTTTTAGTCATGTTTACTATTTCGCACTCTTTAATCGTTTTTGAATTAATTAATATCTGTTCATTCCTTGAGGTTTAATGCTATTTGATTAAATTACTATGAATGTTAAGTGGTATCTAAAAAATTGTTTTCATTTTCTTGAGATTATAGCCAATAAGACATTAGACTAAATATTTAAAAATATTTACAAATCATAAAACGCGATAAAACATTAAAATTATTGATTGCTATGTCACACGAATTAAACTCTCTGGAAGTCATGTAAAACTTTTGACCTAAAAATTGTTTTTTTTAATAAAAACCTGATGATTGAGGCATTGATGCAATAATTTGGTGATTAATTTGAATTAAAATTAAATAAAGTTGCGTTGGTTGTAGCGAATAGTCTCAATGTTTTCATGTAATGTTTCCAAATCATTATAAAATTTATCAAAACTTTGTTGATTACTTAATTGATCATTGAATTGAATGTAAACTTTTCTAAAAAACAATATTCCATTCATTTTTGTTTAATATACAACAGATTAACTGAATTTTTCGCTCAAATAAGTTATTCGTTTGCAAAGACATGATAATAATAACCGGATTGAACTGAACATTGAGTATATATTGTATATAAAACAGTCATTAACTCTATTTTAAGCGAAAAACGTGACCAAACAGTCGATCGCATTCAGTGTCGAAGAGTTTTCAAACAAAATAAGTTTTTTCAAGAATTTTCAGATTTTGCGATAATTTCTAATCTAATTCGAGTCATAAGTTTTCACAAGAGTTTACAGAAAAAAGAAAACATTTCAACAGTTATTAGATTTTGGAGACTTAGACGGCTTGACAACAGTCGGGGATATATTTCAATAACATAAACATATCGGGTATTAATGAAATGTAATTCTTTATAACATATTAATATTATGCTAAATAAATCTTATTATAGTTTGGCTCTGTTTTGAACACTTTTTAACAAATAAAAATCTAATCAAAACATAATTTTCTGTGCATTTCATTTCTAAATGACATTAAAGCACACAAACTATTACTAAAATATAGTGACATTTTTGCAATGATTTCGGATTAAATAATTTTGACCTATTTTTGACCACTTTTTGCAGAATACTTTCGTTTGATTTATATTTATTTCGCTTTATTTTGTTGATTAAAATTACTTAAATTACGTGAAAAATTGAATAAATTTAAAAAGTTGTTTCAAATGTTATTTAAATTAAAAACATTTTATGTTAATATGATATTAATAATATCTTAAGAATATTCTGGCATTTGCTAAGTTTTATTCAAGTGATGAGTCTTTCAGATTAGGGCCTATATTACGGTAATAAACAACTTTTAAAACATTTGACAGTATTATATAAAAAACAAAGAAAATAATGTAACAAAAAAGTTAAATAATTTGAATTAAATTAAAAGATTATAAAAAAAGTTTGAAAGAGTTTGACACGAATTGCCATAAGCTATGAGTCTATGCAATGCAGGTTACGATGTATTCAATGAATACAGTGTTTGTGAACAGAAATAGTGGCAAAAGAGTGACAAACGCTATGTAAACACAAAAAGTGATGAGATTTTCAAAAAATGAATGCAATTTTGATGATTAAAATGCAGTTATGTTTGCATTCATGAGACTGTGATTCACATATCATTACAATTACGCGATAAATGCCTACATTTGCAGACATTGCGTACAGCTATCACCGCAAACACATCCCGAGTACCGATCAAAGAGCTTCCGAAGAATGTCGAGACCAGTGAAGGATGTGATCAAAAACTCTTCGCCATTGCGATGGCTATTGAAGCGCCGAAACCTGATATCACTTGCGGTCACACTTTGTGTCTGTTTTCTCGTCTATCAGTTGCTGTCACTCAAAGAGCTCAACCTCCAGATGTCCGGTCGCATCGCACAGGTAGCCAAAGGTGTGGCCGACAAGTATGGCAAACATGTGATTACTAAGACTGTGGTCGACGACAGTGTCAATGATAATCGGTTTAAGAGTTTTATGGACACCAACGCCAATCAGGTGTTGAATCAGATTGAGAGCAATTATGTCATAAATAAGACAATTGATGGCCAAAGTGAACACCAGTTGGTGGACAATGTGGTGATAATTGGCGTTTTACCAAAGTTTGCCACACTTTACCAACAGACTAATGACTCGTTTCGGTGTCTGTTATCGGGTGAACGGATTCCATACCATTATCTTAACGATGATTACTGTGATTGTGTCGATGGAAGTGATGAGCCCTCGACTAATGCCTGTCCGACCAATAAGTTTGTTCACTATTTCTCTTATCATTTGTCGCTATATTTGCCACTAATTAAGGCTAATATAGTCTTATGTTAACTCATCATTAGGCCATTTCTCGTATGATTATGCAATTGATTGCATTTATCTTACATTTAAACTTTTAATTTTCCAAATGCCATAATGTACCAAGTTTATGACTTACGGTACTATGTTTATGGCACTATAATATAGTGTATTTACGCGAATAGCAAATAATTACTTTATAAATGAGAAAATACTTGTCAGATGTAGTTTTGGCAAATATTTTATCCAAAATGTCATCATTTTTAAGTGACTTTCTTATCAATCACTTTCTCTAAACAAATGGTATGAATCGATAAAATATTTGCTTTCAGTGTGAGTTCATTACCAGCAGTTTTTTCTTTCATTTCGTATTCAATACAATAAACAAAAATCCAATTCAGAAGTCAGTGACACTAATGAGTGGCTGTTTTTGTTTGTTTTGATTATTCAAGTCATTTGGATTTAATTTCTATAAAATCTAATCTGTAATCAGAAACTTGTCAAAGACTTTCATTTTTATACTCATATTTATATTAAGAATTTTTGCATACTTTTCGAGTATTTTGTTTACGAAACCTAACGCTTGTATGAATTAATCGAATGTAAGACTTTAATGGTTTGGTCATCGCTGTGAATACATTAACTAATATACACTTTACTAAAAGCAATAGATCCTCATAAAAGTGTTCATATAATACATTAAACTCATTGTCAATATTTGCCTATTTATCACAAAACAGATTTTACTGCACGACTAACTCAGCCAATAGTCAACACTATATATCGTCGGCTAAAGTGAACGACGGGTTTGTTACACGAAAATATGTGCTTAAATTGAATACATTATAAAATTTGTTGTATTCAACAAATGCACAGAATATGCGACTGTTGTGACGGTTCCGATGAATACAAAGGTCTTTCCACACCATTAAAGCTAACCGACTCTCAAAAGCAGACAATTCAGTCCAACAGATGGATAGTGGCAACGCCTCCCTGTCCTAACCGGTGTAGTGTCTAATCAAACAATTATACGTTTATATTAAATTATTAAATAAACATTGATTTGAAGACTTTACAGACATTTTCAGCATTAAAACATTTATTTCCTAAAAATGATATATAATTTAAAGTCAAAAACCGGATTCAAGAATAAATATCTCTGGAAATAATGAGTGAACGCAACAGACATCAAACCAAATGTCGAATCGATTTCATAATAAAATGATCACAAATAATATGTTTAGAAAAGACTATACAATGAGTTTATGGCCCAGAATTAGCTGATTTTGGTGGCCAACAGATTGCCTTTGGGCTGTTGTTTGGCGCGTTTGAACTCCTTTTCTGCTTTAATGCGCTGGTGTTCGGCGATCCGACGCTCCCTTTCCTGTTGCCGCAGATCCCGAAGGCCCGCATCCGTGTCCCACATCTCAGTGGCCGCCGCGTCCTCCCAACTGCCGGCCACGTCGTCCTCGAAGTGATCCATTGCTCCCAACTCTTTGCTCTGAAAGTATATACATTTGTTTCAATCAATCACTCTCTCTCTCTCTCTCTCTCTTTCTCTCTCTCTCCACAACACATATGGTTTGCGTTGACATATCACTAAACAGATCCGCACCTGAAATATGGTGGCCTTCGTGTCGACACCGAATCGATTGGACTTTTGGTGGTTATTATCACTGCTTTGATTGGTTGTCAACACAATCTGAATGCCATTCAAATGAATACAAATGTCATATAAATTGCAAATCAAATCATTAATGAGTGACAAATGAGACCAACTTTTTTAGTTCTCCTGAACTGCGGGACCATATCCTTGAAGAAGTCTTCCTCCACTTCTGGCTCATCACCGGTGGAAGTGTTTTGCGATTTAGTGGTATTTATGTCTATATTTTGTGAATGATTTGAATGACTGTTAGGATTATAATTGACTGCATTTGATGCCATATATGGACTATTGGTGTGTTGTTGTTGTGGTGACCACTGATGGACAGGTGGAGGAATGTGTTGGTGGTGCTGGTGGTCAGCGGTGGTGACAGTCATCGGCAAAATCATACCGGAGTTCCTTCGGGTGCGTCGGCGGCAACAGAAAGGCCTCTTCAGCACCGCAAACAACACCACAAATAGTTTCTTAAGTTTGCTCAACACTGTCGCCAATATAGCCATCAGTGGTGTCAATGAGTTGGCCCTCAATTGGCGTCAAAATTAGGCAAAAATTGCTATTAAAATGCAATTCAAACTCAATTTAAACTCAATTTAAACACAAATTGTGTTTTAACTGTAAAACTGTTTTGCTTTTCAGTCATTCAGTCAAAACATTACGAAATATACACTCCATTCGTATATAACGTTACGCACAGAATAATAATTATTGTGTCGATTCTTGCATTCATGCCAATCGTTTGTAGTATTGAAGAATCGTGTATTTGAACTGAATATTATGTACAATCATGAATAGTGTACAGAATGTCACACATTAACACTTTTACTTTATATTGTACTGAAAGTAATTTTCTCAATATTCTTACTGTAATTCAATTATCTAACTAAAAACAAGCAAAACAGAATATTCTTTCATTAAATGCAATAATTTATTGAATTTAAACACATTTCTAGTCAAAAATAGAGAACAATTTAGACAAATAAAACTTATAATCCATTTATTTTGCTTTTTTCGCATTCTTTTGCTTCGCTTTTTCGCTTTGTCTCCACTTTTGAAACGACTTCTTCCGCTCCACTCTTTGCCTCTCTTTATATATCTCTTCCCTATTCTTAAGCTCTCTCTTCGGCGGTCTTCTCGACGATTGTTTTGTTGGCTTTTTGGGGTTTCGTTGAATACTTTGATTCCTCTCGAGTTTCTCCTCGTTGTCGACCCCTTCCTCCTCCTCATCGCTCTGTTGTTGTTCTGCTTTTGCTTTCTGTTTCCACTTCTTATAGATGTCCGACTTGTATGAGGCCGATATCCAGTTCCCGCTCTCCGTTTTAATCCTTTTCTTTGTCGGATCTGTATTTCCGCCTGAAATAAATTTCTTCTTCTTGCGATCCCTTTGTGTCAAACAAAACATAAATTAATGAAAAGTTGAGACAAACTAATGAGTGAATAGTTTACAAACCATTTCATTGCATTGTTTGATCTGTTGATGGATCGCGAGTCGTCTCCATTGAAGTCGAGAACAGCGGCAGACATCTGTGCGTTGAAGGGCTGATCCAATTGGAGGCCCTTCTCGGAGAAGTGTTCACTCGACTGATACGGAACGTAGAACTCGTTGTCTTTGAATTTGTCTTTATTTTGATCGAAATCTGATGCCTTCTTATTGGCCGCAAATTTTTCCACCATTTTATCAAAGATTTTGCGCTTCTGTTGCATGACTTCGAAGCCGACGCTTCCTTTGGTTTTTCCCGTCTCGAAGATCGTAGAGTTCGGACGATAACTACGGATCGAACTTAAGATATCGGTTCCAATGCCACTGTTATTATTTGCTGTCGTGTCAACTTTCTTCTTAAATATGGGATGTGTTTCGATGTCTTTACTGAGGATTTGTTTGACATTACGAATGGATTCGCTGTCAGCCGTCGGTCTCGACTTCAGATACTGTTTGTAAGCATTATTGCAGACTTTTTTCAGTGAATCCAATTCAGTGTTCAATGAGTGGATTCTCTCCAACACTTCCATCTCTTCATCGATCATATGCTGCGGAACAGCGCCAAAGAGTCCGTCTTCAGTGGACTTCGAGTCTGGTTTCGATAATTTGAATCCGCGGTTCAGAAATAGATTCAAACCGTAGAGGAATGGTGTCTCGTCGGGTGCCACCAATGAGTAGGCAGTACCGGAGCGACCAGCTCTGGCCACCCGTCCCACGCGATGCACAAACAGTTTAGGCTTCGGCGGAAAGTTATAGTTAATGACGTTATCGAGTAGAGGGATGTCGACCCCACGCGCGGCCACGTCTGTCACCAAAAGCACCTTCACTTG